GAAGATGATCAGAAAGGGCAAGAGGAGAAGGAAAGCTTGCTCTATAGTCTATACTTGGTTTCTACGTGCCTGGTTTGAAAGGAGCCTCTCTTGTATGGTGAAGCGTCCTCGACCCACAATGATATAAATCCCATTTACAGGCGTAGAACAGATAGATATTCACGAAAAGAAAAAATGGTAAATCCTTAGAAAGAAAGAGTCGTTCATGAAAAATCATTGGAAAGAAGAAACAGGTAATAAACATAGTAGCTTTCGCGATGATTATTTATTAATTTATTTGTTTCTTTCTTTTTTGAAAGCCGTTCATAGTGATGAGAGACGCTTACAAACTAACACACATTCTGTAGATTAGATAGGCTGTGAGGTGGGTCTATATGTATAATGGGAATTGCTTTCTCTGGAAGTAATTATAATAGTGTTTTCAATTCATTGAAGCTAATTAACATTTTTATATCTTTTATTAGCAAACAAAAAGAAGAATATCCCTACCCCACAATATACCTCTGACCTTTACTTGGATACGGCCTGGAAACCCTGTAAGTAGTCAAATAGTCAAGATGAAAAAGTGAAGAAATAAACTTCCAATCTCTAGGGTTTTGTTAACACCATATGGAATAAAATTTTTCTTTTTGAAACTGGACTGGCCAGCAGCTGATATGGATTAAGTTGGAAGGAACTCCTTTACAGTTCAACAGTAATCAAGACAGTTTTGGCAGTTTTTTGGTTAAACATCCTGATTGAACCGATAAACTGAAAGTGGACCTCTTTCTGGCTTGATGTCTAATCTGGCTTTCAAGACATTGCTTGATAGAGAGAGGTGTTTGTAAGTGCTGTAAGATTGAGAACATTGAGCTGTTTGTCAACTGACTTTATCTGGAGGAATGAGACCCTCACCAATGAGGGCTGCTCTTCTAAACTTTTTTGTGCCGAGTTGTATGCTAACAAATTAAATGAGAATTCATCAAAATTCATACGGGTGATTTTGATTGATCGGGCTCTAAAAAGTGGGAGTGGGTGGGTGGTTATGATAGTAGAAGATGTCACTTTTTTGAGCCTTACAATCAAAACCACCCATGGATTTTGGTGAATTCTTGTTCGTTGGCATACAACTTATCTCAATTCACAAAGCTTAAAGATTAAGAGACAAGACAACTTGACACCAATGTAATATCTTAAAGCATTTTTGTCTAAGATTGTTTATTTGGCTTAAGGAAATTAAGGGTCTGTTTGGTTTGTGAGGGAATAGGGGTCTGAAATCGGAATTGGATTGGTCCATTTTGATTCAAACTATTTAGATGGACAGAATTGGAATCCCATTCCCATTTCTGGTGGAACGGCATCTCTCCATTTGAGGGAATGGCCATATTCCCTCCTCTCTTAGGAATGAGAACCCATTTCAGATTATTCTAATTAATTTTGATTATGATTCCTATTTGAACCAAACAGGTGGGAGGAATGGCCATTCCAATACCAATTTCGATGGATTTCAATTCTGATTCCTACTGCAAATCAAATGGATCCTCAATTAGATTTAATTTTTTATTTAAGGCTCAGTTTGCTTGTAGTGCAAATAAAATTTTGTACTAGTATAAATGCCTTGTAGTGCAAATGGGCTTAGTTTAAACTCTGGTTTGATCTTGTTTCAGGTCTGACGTTTTTGTTTGTGAGGAGTAAAATGGAAACTTGGGAAGTAGTTAACAGACCTGTTCAAATTTGGGCGGGGAGTTGGTTTTGCATTTTCCAATAAACTTGATCCACATAGGCCATTCTTGGCTTGTGATATGTAAATAGCCAAAAAGGACCTTTAGGGCCGGGTTTGTCTAGGTTTCCTTACCTTTCCTTTCAAACCAAACGCATCCTTAAATATAAATAAACAATAAAGGAATCTTCTCAGGTTTAAGGCCAATAAGGCTTAGGCTGCCCTTGATGAAGTTCTTAATTTTGCTCAATAACTTAGCATTGATTCAATTGTATTTGAGTCATTAATGTTGTATTGGAGGTAAACTTAGACTCCTCGAGCTCCCTGGCGTATTAGTTCCATTATCACTGACTACAGACTACTATACATTGAAGAAGTTTTCCCAGCCGGTGTTCAGTTTGACTTGTTTTGAGAATTGGAAATGAAATAGCTCAGGGGGTGTTTGAACCCTTGGTCCCGCTGTGGTGTGGTTGAAACCACATGCATGGTCTGATTCACACCACACTTTATAAGGATTTTTGTATTACCTAAAATCTATGGTCCATGCCGGAAAGGATTTGACCAACCAAAGCCCTCTATGAATTTTGATGAAAATCTATTTGATTGATTACCACTTCTATGATTTTTGTTGATTGGCTATAAGTTCTTCCTGTATCATGTCTTTCAAGCATCATAGTCTAACCCACTGTTTTAAAAACCAAACCGGACCAGACAGTCGAACGGTTTGACTTAGGAACCAGTTGTTTATCCAGGGGTCTGTTTTTAGATTGGACAATTTTTTTCAAAAAAAAAAAAACCGTTGAATTGATCAGAGAACCACTGACCCGAATGGACAAACTACTAACCCATTTGACTGGACAACGATTTATGGTTTAATAAAAAATATTTAAATTTTTTTAGAAATATTAATAGAGAAGAAAAAAGAAATTGATATGGGGGAGGGACTGAGATACCTTCTCAGATCTAAGATCACTGAGATTTGAGAGAGAGAGAGAGATTAGAGTGAGAGAGGTGAGATCTTAGATCTGAGCAGAGAAAGTAAGAAAAGAGATCTCAAATCTGAGAAAGAGGTCATCATCGTTGTCGCTGTGACAGGTGAGCGTCACCTTCTTTCTTCTTTTTTCTTCTTCTTCTTCTTTCTTTCTTTCCTTCCTAGCTTCCTTCCTTTCCTTTCCTTTCTTTCCTTCCCTCCTTCCTTTCCTTTTTTTTCGTTTCTTTCCTTTTTTCTTTCTTTTCTTTTTCTTTTCTCAGCTGACAGCCACTTAGCTCTAGCTCTCTCTTTTTTCATAAAAGGAGATAGAACCCTAATATACTAAATTTCTAGTTTAAAGGTCAAACCACCCAAACCATTTGACCTGGACAGTTGAATCACTGACCCAAAAACTGGTGATCAAAGCAGCTCCCTTTCCAGGTCGATTTTTAAAACCTTGGTCTAGCCTACTGTACTAAGTTGTGAATAGGTTTGGATACTTTATGAACAAAATATATCTTGATCATTTATATATATATATATATATATATATATAGATAGATAGATAGATAGATAGATAGATAGATAAAAAGAGAGATTAATGATTGAATATATTGTGGTGTGGAAAACTTTCAATCCACAGTTTAATTTGATTCAATCAGCACTACACCTTCAAATAAACAACATATGGGTGTAATGTGAATTGAAACCAATAAACTCACAGAAATTCCCTGAAACCAACACTGACTTAATAGCTAAGTTTGCATTAAATTGCCCTAAGTTTCATACCTGGCCCTTTGGTCTCTGAATTTCTCAAGGATGTAATCTTGAAAGGGATGTATGTTGAGCTTTATTGATGCAATGATATGATTGTCGTCTGGCTTAAATAAATAAATAAGTGCCACATCAACAAAGACAATATGACTTTGCTGATATCGGTTGTTCTTTTGTTTTAAAAAGTAACATCACACTTGTTGGCAAGCCCCCCAAGGGTAATATCATCATCCAACAAACGTTAGTCCCATCTAAGGAATTTAATACACTAAGTAAGCATGGTTAGATAAGTTTTAACTACTTGATTTATGCATGAGATTTTAGGTTCATGAGGGTTGTATTACAGCTCTCTTTTCACCATCATCCAAATACATAAATACACTCTCCCCCTTCATATTTCCAAATCAAAAGCAGATTATTAGCCAGACGGGTCCCATTTAATGGTGGATTCCTATGATCTGAATATGGATGTGGTAGACATAAGATGGATCAAGTTTTGTACTTTGGTACTCAAATTGTGGCCATATATTAAATACCAACATATCCAAGAAAGGACTAGAGAGAGAGTCTCCCACAGAAAAGTTTGATGCATTGGGCTTTAGAAGTGACAAGTAAGTTTGATATATTGGGCTTTAGAAGTGACAAGTCAAACTTTTGGGCAATGCTTCATTAAGAAATTGTCAAATTGAATGGCCTGGATTTATGATCTGATGGACCATCTGCTGCACAACAAGGTAACCAATCTGACCCATTCATATCTTAGAGGGGTCCCAAAAAACGTACAATGATTCTCCATCGAAGTGCTTGATTTTCAGAGGGAAATAATTTGGGTGCCGGCCATACCCTGCAATTAAGAAACAGGAGGGGAAGTAATAAGTCTTGTGTGGTCAGGGATTCATGAATTTGCTCGTAGAAAGAACAAATGATGAGTCTTTCTTTGAATCATGCGTATGTTGCAAAATGGGCTAGATAGATCTCTTTGCTAGGTCACTTTTGTCTGCTTTGCCACGTGGATGATGATCTGGCTAATGTGGACCATGGATGAGATAGGGGGACCCTCTGGACTGGGCTGTGTTCAGTTTCTCTTGGAGTTGATTGTGTGCCCCTTCATCTGAATCTACCCTTATATGCGCCCCCACCCAATTGATGTTGGACAATATCAGTAAAAAGCACCCCCAAAATGGCCTGTTTTTGCCAGGTGTCAGAACGATGAGTCACGTGGCTGACATAAAGGTTCCTTTTGGACCGTCACTAATCCGCCACGTGGAAGATTCCCGACTGTCTGTTTTCAAGGTGACTCGATTAGCGAAACCGTCCCCACGGCAATGAAATGTCAGAATCCTCCAAGGGAACAGGACGATTTTGAGCCAATCAGAAAATGCCACGCCAGTCTGGCATGTGGGACCACGTGTACGGAGCTGACGTGGTGTACCATGATTGGCTCAGTAATACAATTAGAACTATAGGCGATGGCGGAGAAAATTGGAGAGAGAGAGAGAGAGAGAGAGGGTGCAACTCTATAAGACAATGGGTATGAGATTTCTCTGAAATTGAACAATTGAACCTTTGCAGATATTTACTGCGGGCGCTGAAGAGAGAGAGAGAGAGAGAGAGTCCTCTGACGCCAGCTAGGATAATAAAAGGGTGAGAAGATTCAAAAGAAGAGTGTAGGGTTATATGCTTGTCGATACAAAATTCTCTTGGATATATCTTACGATTTTATTAATCACTCGTTCATTCTTTCTTAGTTTTACTTTTGTGGGTGTCACTTTCTTTCTTTCTTTCTTTCTAGTTTCTACATCGTCTCAGGAGAATGGAAGGAGATGAAGAAGTATCTGTACCAAGTGAAAAGAAAAGGAGATTCAAGAGGATTTGTGTCTTCTGTGGGAGTAAAGCTGGATACAAGTCTACGTTTAGTGATGCAGCTCTTGAACTTGGTAAACAACTGGTAATAGCAAACTTGATCTTCTCGAGTGTAGAATATGATATTGGGTTCTGTTCTGTTCTGTTCTTTCTTTTTTTTTTCTCTTCTGTTGGGTGAGGTCTTTTAACCGTCACTGAACTAAGCTTCTTTTCCTACTCAGGTTGAAAGAAAAATAGATTTGGTTTATGGTGGAGGAAGTGTAGGTCTAATGGGTTTGGTCTCCCAGACTGTTTTCGATGGAGGTTGCCATGTACTTGGGTATTCTTCTGTGTATATATATATCCCATGTTCATCTTCCTTTTTTTTTTGAGATTTATATACGTTTGTCATAAACGATTTGCCTGTTTATGCTTTTCTTTTCTTTTCTTGCAGAATAATTCCAAAAGCTCTCTTGCCACATGAGGTAAAGTTTTATCCCCACTTTCTGTATTTCTTCATATATGAAATAATGAAAATCTTCTCCATGGACTAAATAAAATCAAAACCCACCTGCAGATATCAGGAAAAACTGTTGGAGAAGTGAAAACTGTTGCTGATATGCACGAAAGGAAGTCTGAAATGGCCAAACATGCTGAGGCTTTTATTGCTCTCCCTGGTTTGTTCAGATGCCAATACACCAACTTTAGATGAAGGATCTTTCTTGCACTCCCGAATCCTAATTACTATGTTCCAATTAATCCAAATTTCCAATCTGCTTAGGTGGTTATGGAACCATGGAGGAGCTACTGGAGATGATAACATGGTCTCAGCTAGGAATTCATGAAAAACCAGTAAGATGGGTGTAGAGGCAATCTCTTCTTGTTGTTTGCTTGCTACTCTTGATTAGTCAAAGTGGGTTTTCATTTTTCATTTACTTTCCTTTTTCGGAATTTGGAACAGGTGGGGTTATTGAATGTTGATGGATATTATAACAGCTTGCTTGCATTTTTTGATAAAGGAGTGGAAGAAGGTTTCATAGAGAACTCTGCAAGACATATCGTTGTCTCAGCAGACACAGCAGAAGAACTGATCAAGAAAATGGAGGTGAGAAAGACAAAGTACAATTTTTAATATTATTAAATGAAGCCACAGGGTAAATTACAAAAACCCTCCTGTAATCTGTGGTTGTGACACTTAGGCTCCTATACTACTTTTTGTGACACTTATGTATTCAAAGTATAATTATAACAAGACCCATTCTAATTAACCGAATATGCCCATGTAAGTTTCTGATTAAAACCCTAAAACTACTCTCATCTTGCTTATAATGCAGATTTATCCTCTATCCTATTTAAGTTCCATCATTGTCTTTGTAACCAAAATTTGGGCTATTAAAATTGATCAATTAATCTTGAAAATCCATGTGATGTGCCAAGGTTTAATTGAAGTAGTCTAGGCCATGAAAGTGATATAGTAGGTGAAACAAATTAATTATATGGTCCATTAATTAGGTGGTGTTGTAACAATGGTCCAGTTATATATCTTTGTCCTTAAGATAAAATACCCAAATTTCTAAAAGGTCCAGGCCATGTAATTATGTACGAAATCAATCCAAATATTTGAGACATCAGAGTGGTAGTGATATACTAAGATTCAACTAATATAGGCCATCTTAAAAATGTAACAAATATATCTAAAATTTAAAGCTACCAAAGTGATCTATAAAGACCAATAAATAATCAATCCTGACCATCCAACTAATGTACACAGATTTCAATTAATATTGACCATTCAAGTAATGCCCCAAATTTTCTATAAAATCTAAGTAAAATGATGTAATAGATAAACTCGTAAACCTAAAGATCTAGATTATCAAAACGGGCTCCTAAGATGAACCAATATAACCCATCCATGGTATTCACAGAATCAATGAATACAGGCCACCCAAGTGATGAACCACCACCACCACCACCTCTACCAGCACAGCAGTGCTACACCAGTGCTGCCTTCTTCTCCTTCACCTACATCATTGCCCACACACCAGAATCTTTTTCATCTCTTCCTTCACCCTTACCTTCTTCTCACCACTATTATCATCATCACCACCACATCTAGTCCATTCACCCTCACCTCCACATCCACCTCTTCCATCACCTCTCTCTCTCTCTCTCTCTCTCTGTGGGAATGGTAGTAAATATCTAGATATATGAACAACTAATTGGTAGTTTCTCACTTTCTATTAAGGCCATGATCAGGGGATTTGATTAATATCATATGTAGGTGAGCCTGGTAAAGTATCACAAAAAATAATACAAGGGGCTAAGTTTCATACCAACAAACTACAAGGAAGGACCTTGTAATTTACCAATAATAATAATAAAAATAATAATTTATTATAGATTGTAGTGCACCTACGAATTAAATAAGGATGTACAGTATCTGGTTGTTGAATTATTGGTTTTGATGACAAAACAAAGTTGCAGAAAAAGGTAGGGGATGATCTGTTGCTGTTTTCTTTGGTATTATTTGCAGGAGTATGCACCACTTCATGACAAAGTTGCACCAAGACAAAGTTGGGAGGTGGACCAGTTAGAGTCTACACCAAGTGGACATAATTTATGATCTTAATCCAACGTACCAATTTGTATATGTACACCAAACATATATTTTTACCTCCATCATCTTATCATTTAAAACATCTCTCTCTCTCTCGTTGTTGTTTCTTATTTGTTCATCTTTTCAGGGATGTGGTACAAGGGCTTGGTTTGTGTTTTGTGGTCTTGTGGTGCATTCTTTTCTTACATTCTGATTTGTGGATGAGATACTTTGGGTTTTGTCTGATTATACACTGAACTTCTGCTATGGAGGGTCCTACTGTACAAATTTGCCGTTTTGTTTGCTTCTGTTTTTTTTCAACCCTTGCTTTGGTTAATAAAAAAATAAAACTAAAATTAAACCAACAATCAACACTCTACAATCTACATGCTTTTGATTTTAATGGTCAGATAGCACGTGAGGTTGCTAGCTCACGTGTAGAGAGAAATAGTGGAAAGGTCGAAACAACATAAACAACATTGGGTTGATATTAATTATTTTCTGGTTGAACTTGAATCATGGCAAATGAGTCCCACTATACTATATATATGTTCAAGACATTGTTGGCCTGGCCAACCAACCCTCGCCTGGACGGCTGGACCAGCCCATTGCACGGTTTGGTTTTCTACTTATGAGACCGGGTTAACTTTCAATTGTCGAGTTGGCTTGGATGGTTCTTTTTCTAGAAGGTGGGATTGGCACATTTGAACCTTAAGTAATCTAGTTGTGACTGGTGGTTAAGGTTGGTCAGCTCTTTTTATAAATATAATGGCTTCAGTGCTTCATTGCAGAAATGGTACACAAGATGGTCCTTTGATTCTACAAAATGGGGGTCCTTCAATTATGTAATAATTACTTGAAATTTTTTGTATTTAATGATTAAAGGCTTTTAAGTATAATGGGTCTGATCGGATAAACCGATAACCCAATTGGATCCTGTAGGCACACTAGCGCACTGAGCACTCCAATTGACGATAGGTTGTTCTGGGTCTAATAATTACGTATGATAGGGTTTGTTTGGTTCATAGAAAGAAACCAAATCAGAATGGTCTATTCTTAGGAATGGCAGTTTTTCCATTCCCAACGGGTACTCGGGCTCCCCGACCCAATGGGGTCGGGTATGGGGAGTACTTTGGTGGTCTGGGTCGGAGATGGAGCTATCGTTGAATTCTCAATCGGGTTCGGTGACGGGGATGGGGAATGCAATTCCTACCCCGCCTTGGCCCGGCCCCAATTATATATATATTATTTATATTATAATATTGTAATATTATATATTATTCATTTATTTGATTAACAAAATAACATTATAACAATTTCAATTAATAATAAATTAAAAAACAAAAGCTAAAAATCTCTCAAGAGTCGAGAGTCTCTTGACTCTCTTCTCTTCTAGACTACCACTTGAGTGACTCGACAAAGGACAGAGAAAGACTCAAAGAAGAAAGAACAAACTACAAAGGTAAACCCTAGTTCTTCCTTCATATATCGTCGTCAACCGTCGTTGTCGTTGCCATCGCCCGTCGGATGTCGGGCATCAGTATTCAAAACCCTTGTTCTTCAACTTCCTTCTTTGTCTATCAACGCTGCAGGCCCACAACCCGCAACGGTCCTCTCTCTCTCTCTCTCTCTCTCTCTGCTTTTGGTTTCTGATTTTTTGTGCTTTTGATTTATTATTTTTTAAATCTCGAACATATTACAAATACAAATCCGAATCCACTTCAGTGCAGATCTGAATCTATTCACAAGTCTAAAGTCTCTCTCTCATTTAGATCTAAAGAGCAACTTTGCAAGTTCCTGTAAAACTCACAAGTCGCAACTTGGTAACAGACTCATTTCTGATTTATTGATTAATGCAAAAAGATAGCTACGAAAAAATTCTTTAGATCTTCCTATCCTTGTTACCATATGTTATGGGGTTCTCCAAACAACCATTTTAAGTTCAACCGGTGGCTATTAGCTTTCATGTAATCGGGGATTCAGGTCTTCGACGGGGAATTCGTCTCCGTTAGGGTCAGAGATGGAAGAGAATTCCTTTCCCCAACGGGGATCGGGGACGGGGATGGGGGATGATTTGGGGGTCGGAGTCAAGGATAGGGAAGGTAATCCAAACCCCGAACCCGACCCATTGTCATTCCTATCTATTCCTAGTCTGTTTGGTTTAGACATTAATCAGAAATTTTGGGTCATTTTTTATTTTTTAAAATTTTTAAAATATCATGGATCGATCTATTCAAACCATATGGCCGAATTGTTCGACCCAAGAACTAGTGGCCAAAGATGTTCCATTTTTGGGTTAGTTTTTAAAATCTTGATCAAATTTTTAAAATTTATTTTGAAAATTATGTATTGAAATAATTATCAATTTAATAAAGTTAAATTGAAAATAGTTGATGATAGTTAAGAGTATCATGTGTTCAAGGTATTATGTATAATTTATTTCTACAAAAATTAAAAGTAGAGTTATTACATGAAACTCCACTTCACTTCTTTAACATTCTTTTAAACTTACATTGGATTTTAATACCTCTATAAATCCCCCATAGCAGACAACTTTATCTATGACATAGTACCCTTCTTTTAGGTCAATAATAGTTTGGTAATTGCAAGTACACCCCTTTTGTTATAATCCTCTAAAAAGAGACATGAAAATGTCCAAAAGTACCAATGTAGTTACTTTTGACAAAAATGTAACTCGGTTGATCCTCTTACCAAGGATTTGCCTAGAGAATTGGTAAGAACAATAATTAAAGAGATGGGATTCAAACCCTTCACTTAGTCATGAGTAATGGTAATCCAACCTAAATGGAAAATCACAGAATTAGGTTTAATGGATAATAATAAATTACTACAATGTGACTGTGAGAATTGACATTAAGAACTTCCAATCGCAATCTAAACAGTGTTGTCTTTTTTTTTATCAAAAGTTGAGTTAAATTCTTAATGAAATTCTAAAATGTGTCAAGTAACAGAATACATAGTGGAACTTCACTTATGTAAATGTAGAAGTGGTGCCGCTTCTCATGAGAGCTTGGGCTTTGCTCTTAAGGTCATTCATGAAACCAAGAAAGTAGTACATGACCATAGTAGTTCTGAGCAAATTTGAATCTTTTGTAGATATAAGACATTTTATGTGTATGGGTATTCCCAGTCTGTCTTAAAAGTAATTGGTTTAAAGTTTTACTACCAATAACTTTGGCAAGACTTTGAGATATTTGTACTAATTGAATGTTTAAGTTATAAAATACATTCTTATATGCATAAGTATGTCATAGTAGATTGGATTGAGAGAGACCTACGTAATTGCTCAATCAAAGTAGGTGATTGTTGGACACTAATCTTATTAGAGATTAAATCCATTGGGTGTTTGATTGATTAATTACATAATTAATTAGGACACCCACACTTGCACTTTGAAAATTGATTTTAAAGTTCTCGTCAAAATTTATTTTTTAACTTGTTTTCTCCTTTTTCTAAGCTTTATCCCACATTGGAGAGTTATTAAACATAACTTGAAGTTTTAAGTATGAGCTTGTTTATACTCCTTCAAACTATGAAGAGGAGAGTATAGAAGCTTGCTACTATGCAACGCACACACACATGTGTGTGGTGCAATGAAATGCTTTAGAGGCGAACTTTGCTCGCACTATCATAAATGGTTGAACTGCACATAAGGGTGTGTTTGGTTTTCAGGGTTGAACCATGACCATTGACATTTTAAATTAATCCAACGATCATCACTTGATCAAGTGTGATCTAAGGACACTATTCAATAAGAATATGGCACATGGCAAAGGGAATTAGGTAGTAGATTCTCCAAATTCCATATTACAAAGTATACTTCTGCATTTTTCATCTAAAATGAACCCTTTTGTCCATCCATGGGTTACAAACTCCCATTCCTGGTGGAATGACATTCCCTCCCCCTTCTTTGGGAATGAAATCCCCTTCCATTTGATCACAAATCCCATATTATGGGACTAGATCATTCCGAAATTTGAGAGAACGGCCATTCTCTTCCCCTCCCTTGGGAATGAACCCCCATTCCATCTAAATGCAATTCCCATATTATGGGAATAGATCATTTCAAATCCAAAGGATTTTGATTTCGATTTTGATTCCGAATATCAACCAAATGGACCCTGACATTATAAATCTTGGCTTCAAAAAAGAAATACTTTGAATCTTGACAATTTTTTTTTTTTTTTGATAAGGGAAGATCAACACCAATGGGGGAGAGATCTCCCAGCTACATCCAGAAGAACTAAGAAATTAGAATCCTAGGGAGGAGAACTTTGATGAGCGACTTCCATTTGATCACAGTGGTTGGCCAGCCAGTCTACAACTGCATTTCCATCTTTGTGGGTGTGCTTGTACGAGAGAACTAGAGATGAACTTTGCACCGGATTTCTACACTCCTTGAGAAGCGATGAACATTGCCATGGGACCTTTGAGATTTCCTTTGAGGATGTTTATCACCAATAGGGAGTATCCTTCGGTGATGATGGGAACATTTTGAAAGAGGACAGCTAACTTGTGGGCTCTAGGGCTCCCACATTTTAGCTACCAAAATAATTGTACAACCTATTTTGTCCCAATTTGTCTTTAGAACTCTGCCTTGCGCATCCCTCACCACACAACCAAAGGTGCACCTTCCATTGGATTTTGTTGTTTGAGGTCGGTGGGACCCACATAATCCAAGTCAACTACTTACATATGATTTTCTCCTAGGAGAGAATGGATTGTTTGCTTCTACGTGCTCTTCTGCATAGGTCCAAGTCTTTGGTCACAATTTCAGTGGGGGGAATAAGAGTTATTCTAAAAAAGATTCATTTCAATTTTTTCAAAGGCTTAATTTGGAAGGAGTACAAATACAAATATGTATGTGGAGTGCAAAATTTTGTATTTTCTATTATTTTATATGTATTTGTATTGTACATATTTGCATTTGTACTCCTTCCAAACTGAGCAAAAGATTCCAAAACGTTGCAGCTATTCTCTCCTAGAACCATTCTAATCGGGGATCAAATTTTCCAAGGATTGTTCTTTCCCACCATCTAATAAGGTTCCAACTCCCATAATCCAAAGGTTTATAAATTAGATTATCTGATTAACCCCAAACTTGGCGGGTCACTAAACATCTAGTTAGAATATGATATTCGTCCTCTAGCTCTCCACAAAAAGGG